TAGGGTGATGGTGGCGGGCATGTAACCGAGGCAGGAACAGAAAAGAACGTTTGGTAGGTAGGGTGATGGTGGCGGGCATGTAACCGAGGCAGGAACAGAAAGGAACTGGTGGAAGTTATACTGCTTATCCTTGGATACAGGTGGCACACACATACCTGGGTAAGAATATTCTGGAAAGGCTGTAATCTTCAGGTCCACTCACTCAACAGATGGGGGAAAATGAAGCGGGAATGTATGAACAGTTTGGATATTCTTCCTATTGTGGATGCTGAAGACCCGTAGAAGACCACAGAACTTGTTTTTTTGCTTTTTATCAATTTATTTGCTGTGTAAACAGCCTTATCTATAAGTCACAACACTTGAGCTGTGCACAGTGACTGTTCCATGAAGAATGTTTGTCAAGTTGGCACACAGAAACTTTAACGCTGGATTTTCTGGTCCAGCTACATATTTGGGCCCGTTGAACGTCATTTCGGAAACATTTTTTGAATGTTTGTTTTCAAGTGGTTTTGGATTGTAAATATTATGTGTTTTGCGGTTGAAAGATTATTGGCTGTGGACTTCAGCTGATGTTTAATTGTTGAGTAAGCTGGTCCTCCAGACTTCTGCAGGTATTGTTAACTACAAGTCAGTTAGACCCTAGAGCAGCTGAACTTCCATTAACTACTGACACCTGAAAACCAGGTGAGGGGGGGGGGTTACATTCCAAAAATTCTTGATCTTTTGAAGTACACATCCTGAGTTTCTGGAGGACTGGATTTGCACAATCCTTAGCAATAAGCAAAATACCTTTAATTACTTTGTGCATGGCAGTTACATTTTTTTCCAGAACAGGCAGAACTTAGCATTTCCAGAAAATTTATCCTTTCAAAAATTCCATTAACGTAATTTTCTTAAAATAACTGTTTTTATTTTACTATAAAAACCCCCGTAATCAGCACAAAAAAAGCACACAAATCTTTATTGCTGCCAGGCCATTGCCCTTGGATGTGCCCAGATGATCACTTCCATTTTCAGTTGCTTCTATCTCGCATTTTACTGCCCCTCCACCCACTCCGATCGAGCAGTGTACTGCCATTACTCTTCAGGAAATTATGTATGAGTCCAAGTCCATGGCGATGGCACGTAAGGGAGATGGAGCAGCGGCCCACCGTAATTGTCACTGAGTCGTAGGCCTTCCTCTCAAGGGGCCGATATCCCTTGTTATGAGGGAGATAAAGAAAGAGAACCTCAGACTGAACACTCTCTCTTCTAATAGACATATGGCCCGGCTTTGCTGCTAGAGCATCTCACAGACTGCCGGTGTCCCCGGTGAAAGATTTATGACATCCTTGGCTCAACGTCTGACGCGGGGATAGATCTCCTCTGTGTGCTGATTAATAAGGAGGTCCTGTCCGCATCCAGCGTGGAAAGCTCACAGGCACGATCGGCATGAAGGGAGATGAATGGGATGCCTCTGCAAGGATGGAACGTGTTTTGAAATTGAAAGCCCCCTCCCCTGAGAGAATGTGATTGGTTTATACCTCTGCTTGTCATCCTGGGTATGATGCTTTGGGCTAAGCACGGGAGGTAGAGATAACTGGGTACAGAGGGAATGATAGTCCTTTTATACAGTGTTTCCCACGGTCCTCAGGAACCCATAGACACTCCATGTTTAAATGACTGTCTGGCAGGAAGCTCGGTGGGAGCAAAAATGTGGACCGGCCGTGGGTTCCCGAGGACTGGATTGGGAAATGCTGCTTCTATAGAATTCAGCAGTTCTATTCTATAGATTGAAGCAGGATTTCTTGCTTAGCCAAATAACTTGTCAGATTTAAGGTAGTCTTGGCTAAATGGACTTTTATCGTTACTCACAACTTCACTTATCATTCACTTACATTTAGCCCAGACTACCTTTCCATGTGAAGGAACCCAAGGTCCTGCTACAGACTGGCACACAGAACTCTCTAAGCATGTGGATGCTGCTAATAGCA